CAAACCCATTAAACACCTAAATCTTGAACACATGCCCTGCCCTATCCTATTACCCTACCCCAATCCACGCCATCCTGCTCATTTACCATGTAGTTGGGTGTTCCTGCTCTGCCCACCGCCATCCCCGACCTGTCCAGATGACACACCATGCCCAGGTCACCCAGTTTTGCTCGCCCGTCTGACGTCAACAACAGGTTGGCCGGTTTGACGTCTGAGGATATGAGAGAGGAGGCGGAAGGGCGGAGGGGGAAAGGGGGCAAGGCCATGTGAGGCACCCAGAAGGTGGCACCATGGAGCAGCGGTGCTAAGCTGAGAGCTGCAATCCACACACGCACGTGCGCGTAATAGCACGAAGAAAAATGCGAGAAGGGAGGGAGAGCGTGCGCGATGATCTTTAGCGCAAGAAAGGAAATGGTTCATAAACACATTTTCTCCTCCTTGTAACCCCACGGCATTATGGGTTCTTGAATGCAAATCTCTTGGACACCCCATGGTTCACATTGAAGCAGGCGCCCCCCCCACACACACCTGCAAACACAGACACGCACACCCTGCCTCCTCGCCAGTTCCTACCGGCGGCTCAGATCAATAACGCACGTCCTACCTCTATGCAGCAAGCCCTTGCCATGCAGGAACCTTAGCGCCTCAAGCAGACAGGCCAGGTAGAACCTTGCAGAGGTCTCACTCATCAACAACCGCTCCCGGGAGGGGTCACTGGAGGGGCCGCGGCGGGCGGAGAGCGTCTGGCACGGCAGGGGAAAAACGTAGAAACGGATAACCGAGTCAGAAGGGAAGAGGGTTGGGTGGAAGGCAAGGGGAAGGAAGGAGTGATGGCGGGTGGCTGACCGCCAAGTAAATATCCTCAGTGCGCTTGCAGTCCACACGTGAATACGGACGGGGTCGGAATCATATGCAAGAAAAACGAAAGGTCAGCTCCCGACGAAGTTCGAGGGTTGGGGAGGAACCCAAGTCCCCCAAGTGACCCGCACCTTAAGGAGGGAGCCCAGGTCGCCCCCCTCGGCCCACTCCATCACAATCCGGCACGATGGCGAGGAGGAAGACGGCGGCTGCGGCGGCTGCGGCCGCCAGTGCGGCGACAACTTTGACGGGAGCGGCAGCAGAGACGGCTTTGGCGGCGACCGCCCGTCATTCCCGCCACCATTACCGCCGTTTCCACCAGCACCTACAGCCGTCGCTGGTGCTACTGCGGATCTGGTGTCGTCCGGAACGCAGCCAAAGACACGGACGATAAAGGGACACTCGCGGCACCGAGACAGCTGGAGCAGCTCAATGGCCTGCATGCGGTTTATGCGGGTACGGCTGGGGCCGCCACCGCCACCGCCGCGGCCACGGCCTCCGCCGCCAGTGCATGCGTCGGGATCACGGCCGCCGGCAGACTTTCCTCCAGGCCTGAAGCCAACGCGCTTCACAGCCACCACCAACTCGTTGGACAGCACCGCCGATAGGCCAGCGGTGGCGGCGGAGGAAGCGGGAGTGGAGGGATTGGTGGCGTATGGTGACGACAGCTGCATACCCGAAGATGTCCGTGCTGACGGCGGTGCGGAGTTCACAGCAGTTGCTGCAGCGGCGGAGCCTGAGCTATGGGGCCGAAGATGCAAGCTGCTGCTGCCGAGGGGGTAACCGCCGGAACCTCGGCTGACGAAGCCATGGACCACTCCTTTGGCGGCCACAGCTGCTGCCGTCGGGACTTGCGCTGTGGATGCCGCGGGGCAAGAAGATGATGTCGAATTCGGCCAGGCTCCTGCCGTCCTATTCGATCCTGCTATTGTAGAAGGGGCCCCAGCAGGGCTGGCCCCGGCGGCAAGGCTCACTACACTTACCACACCGCTGGTGGCAGCACAGAGGCTTGTGGTGGTGCCTGCTGGCGCGCTGGCCCGCAGTTGCCCTTGGAGTGTAGGGTTAGCGTTGTTTGTGCGGCGTGCAAGCCTACTGGGTGCAGGCGGCGTCTTGCACGGTGAAGGTGGTGGCAGCTCGGATGAATGTGGGTTCAAGCGTAGACGGTTCACTGAGAAGCGACCTGGCCGCACGATAATTTCCTCCCGTGGGGAAAGGCCGAATTTAGGACTAGGAAGTGTGCATGTGATCTGAGCAGTGGCGGCTGCAGGGGAGCTGCAGGAAGTTGGGTCCGCGACGGCTGGTGCCGATGATTGTACCTGGCGCAGGTTGAAGGCTGGGTCCTCACAGCTTTCGGAAGTGGGTTGCGAAGAATGGCTGCTGGCTTCGGCTGTACCGGTGGAGCTGCACTGATGGGTCAGCGGTTGCTGGTCGGGGGAATCTCCGGCACAGGGAGTGACGGGAACGGAAATGGAGACCCGGCAAAGCTCCACACAGCCATAGGCGCCCTCACCGAGCCAGGTCACCGGGGTTAGGCAGCCAGGATTTAGCTGCGACAGCAAGGACTGATCCTGTGGATGAAGTGGGCGCGAGTGGACGAAGCCATGGGTTTAGAACACCATAAGAAATAAGCAGTGAGGGAACCAAGCATTTAAATATGCTCAATAAGAAAGCCGGAAAATTGTGTCGAGGAGAAGTATCGCGTTGCGCTTACCCGTGGGCTCGCCACCCTCCATGGCTGTGCGTCCCCGCTCAGAATTTGGACAGGTCCCGTGTTTGTGAGAGGCTCGTTTGCGCAGCTTTCTGGGAATCACAAAGGGGACAATTTTTTGTTCAGAGCAGTTTATGTGGGCCATACCCAAGAAAACTACAGATAGATAAGTAGGCAACTCCCTACTCATATGCAGACAGGTTACGGCCTTTATAGAGGAGCTTCTACACCCGAAACGTCAAAGATTCAAAAGCTATACTTAACGCACCCATAATCGGCGGAGGAGCTTGGGCCGCAAAGGGACCACTGCGCGCGCCATCTTTGTCCAGCTGAGCGTTCTTCCGAACGCATAGAGAAAAACAGCAAAGAAAACGCATGAGGATCCTTAATAAGCTAGACCATTGAAAAACACTATGCTGACGGAAAGCGTTTATGCGCAGAGTTGAAGGTGGCTGTCATAATGCTAGTCAAGGGTGGAATAACAACTAAGGAGGTCGGACGCATCAATGTTCATTAATTAATGTGTCATAGTCGGGTTGAACACCGAGGATTAGTGCAAGCCAAGCACGTTATTAACAGAAGCCGTATCGACCCCAGCTGTCGTAAACACCAGGACATTCTATCTCGCCTTTTGACCCAGAAGCTCGCGGTTGCAATAGAGATGCACTTCACCTTTCCTTAGGGCATAACAGAACAGGGATTAGCAAGGTCAGGTCCTCCGTCATCAAAGCCCACTATCCGATTGTAACGCCGTCCTCCTTTTCGAGTTCGCACCAAATGAATAAAACAGACCCTCTTGCCTTTTCTTTGCCAAGGTCCTTGCGCTTGTCGTGCTCGGGTTAGGAGCGTGAGGACGTCGAAGCCTGAGACGTTGCTGAACGAACCATCCGCGATGCGCTACTGCAGTCCTACAGCACATTACGGGGACACAGATTTACCCTTCGCTGGCCTCCCATTTAAACCCCAGCAACGCCCAATCGCAACATGCAGTATGCAGCCATATGCGCTTCAATGCTGAACTTTGCCCTAAACATTTTGCCTGTCCCTACGCACACCTTGCCTGTCCCTACCGCCTTAACGCGTAAGGATATATGTAAGGATACACGCACAAGCACATGGGGTTGCGTGTGCAACAGGCCGCGGCAAGCGCCGCAAGGGTTTCTTTGCGTTCAGCTTTAAACGTGTGCGTCATTTTCCATACGACCACCGGCCAATCAACCAACTAACTGAATTCATCCCTGGCAAAGGAACGTAGCTCTCTGCACGCTCACACGTGCAGCGCGCCATCGTCCGAAGCTCACGAGCAAATATCCCCCTCCACAAAACATCCACACACACATGCACACACACACAAACACACACACACACACACACACACAAGCACACACACAAGCGCACACACACACACTCGTACACACACACACACAGCTTGGCCTGCGAGGTCGTCAACCCTCCGCTTTCACGGGAAGGGTTCCTTGCGCCCCCCCCTCCTCGGGGGGGGGGAAGCCCAGGGGGAGACCACCTAGCCTGTGTGCTTGTAGCCGCATCGCACGCGCTGTGGTATGATGACCAGCAGCATGACCCTCTGCTTTGCCCGCTAGCTTATGAGGATAGGGAAATAGGTGCTTTCCTGAAGGTTCTATCTGGTCAGGACTTCCGGGGGTTTGCCCTCCTCGTATGTGTACTCAGTTACCTATCCGCCGCCCACCACCACCACCACCACCACCACCACCACCTAGTCTCGCCCTTCACTTACCAACAGCGCCGCCTCCGCTTACTTCTACTCTGGGCTCTCGACAACGTCACTCTTCTGTCCAACATCCTCTTGGTTCAAATTCAAATTCAAATTCAAGCAGCTACGCCTGTCGTTTCATTGGAAACGCCTAACACGTGGGCTTTCCCTCACCGTCATCAAGGTCGTTAAGACACATACGCACAGTCCACCAAATCCACTGTCCTGTAACCAACCCAGGAAAAGTCGAAATGACTGATATTGCTGCGACTGAGCCCACAGCACGTTTTCCACGTGGCCCGACAGACAGATATACAGGCAGACAAGTGGTGGCCATTTACACATCGCAGTATTCGTTCGGCCATCTGGACGGACGGCACACACACACAAACACACACACATAAAGGGGGAGGACGGTGGAGAGATGCAACTCAGCCTCGCCTGGGCTGCAGGCTCGACTTTCAAAAAATATCGGCCCTCCTTTTCCCCTAAAAATTTGAGGGCCAAAACAGGAATACCAATTTCCCCTCCTCAATTTTCGCACTCAGTATCTCATCGGTCTTTCAATGTTCCGCGCTCGTCCAAACAAATACACACGGTCGCTCCCCCCTTCCTCTTCCCCCCCCGGCCGCTCCTCCCGCTCCTATCCGTCCCACCACATCACAATTCGTCAGTCAGCACCCCGTCTCCAGGTTTGATCACCGATGTCCCAGAGGGGTCATGTACGATCCAGGTCCAGGGTTTCTCCACATCCAGCAGCACGTTCAGTTGCTCCACCGTCTCCATAATGCGGGCTGCCGTATCAGGTGGCATGGAGGCCCGGCTGCTGCTCACATAGTTGCCCAGATTGAAAATAGCCTGGGGGGGTGGGACGGCGAGGGTTTGGGGGTGGGGGTGGGCAGGAGGAGAAAAAAGGGGAGGTTTTATGGGTTTGTGAGAGCGGAGCATGCATGCATGCATGCATGCATGCATGTATGTATGTATGTATGTATGTATGTATGTATGTATGTATGTATGTATGTATGTATGTATGTAGCGGGTGCGTGAGGGAAGTGCTTGTTGCAAGGAGGAGAATTTTGCATATAGTACACATATGAGTTAAACGTCGTGTACATGAGGGCCATTTTTTAGGAAAATGTTGGCGGCCGGCAGTGGGGACGCACTGGGCATTGGGGTGGGGGAGGTGGTGGGGGGTGGTGTGTGTGTGTGTGTGAAAGGGGGAGAGGTTGCCGGAGGGGGACGGGGGAAAAGACGAACCACGAACGAGTGAAGCTGCTGCCAGGGGACGGGGTGGGGGAACGGAGAACGGAGGCGGGCGGGTGTGTGTGCGCGTGTGTGTATTGAAGAAAGAGGTCGAGCATGGCGGCTCAGCGGGACACGTGGTCACATCCGCGAGGCACAGTAGGGGCCGTGGTGTAGCTGTGAGAGGGGGTTTTAACGGAGAAATTGGTTGGACAAGAGGTCTGGAATAAGGATTGGAGACACCCTGGGAGGTGTATCGGGGAACGGGAGTGCGCGTTTTGACGGGTTGGGGTAGGAGCGCACACGTACACGTACAACCCCCGGACTAGGCGTCTGATACAGCACAGGAATCACGTACAAGACAGACGCATAAACAGACAGACAGCGAGGTAGACAGATATTAATCTATGAAGATACGTAAATACAAGTCCATATATGTGTCCATCTGTCTACCTCGTTCTACGTATATACATATATAACACACGTATACATCAAAATACACGTAGTACACTCCTACCTGCGCGATGTGGTTGTAGATCGAGTCTATATGCTTCTTGCCTGCAAGAGGTTCCCGCGGAGGAGCAAGAAGGGAAAGGGGGGAAAGGGGGCAGTAGCCGCTTACCAGCTTCTTCAGCCTCAGCCTCGTCAATTGGCGGAAGCTCTTCCCCCCTCACACACACACACATACATACACACCCGGATCCGAGCCACCAAAACACACACGCACACACCTACATACATACATGCACAGTCACCGCGTAAACAGTGAGGGCTGGAGGACCGCTCTTGGTCAGCAGGCCCCCACCCACCAGCCTACCCTCAACATCAGCACCCGCAATCCCCCTCCGAAGGGAAACCCGCAAACCCCACACCGCAATCACACCTCTTCACCTCTCACCACAGTCCCCCTGCCACCTTACCTCCCCATTTGCTGCCCACGCATGCGCACACGCCCACATGCACCACAAAACCCTCACCCTCACCCGCGCCTTTCCCCCTCCACCATCCCACCCGCCCACGCACCGCCAACAGCCACGTACCGCTAGCACCCGGTCAGCTACAGCACTACAGCACTTCTGTTGCACCCACCATCTGCTGAGATCTCAAACTCCAGCTCCGGAATCTCCACCCGGGCATGCTGTGACTTGAGACACACGCGCCATAGGTCGCTACGGCTCTGGATGGTCAGGGTCTGGCGGGTGGCCCGCCACTCCTCCCGAGGTGGCTCGGGAAGAATCTGAGAGCGCGCGTGTGTGTGCGTGTGTGTATTTGGGGGGGGAAAGGAAGGGGAAAAGTATGCAAAAGTGAATGACATGTGTACGGGAGGATTGACGAGAAACCCAACTGCAAGGAAGGAACAGTGAATCAAACTGCCGAACGACTTCCCAAACGGGGGAGGAGGAGGAGGAGGAGGGTGGGGGTGTTTGAGGGGCCCCGGCTTAGGTGCGTGGGAGGGTTGCCGGTTTAGAGGGGACATATGTCGGTAGCGCATGTCGGCTAAACCGCACCGCTAAACCCACATCCACATCCACATCCACATCCGCACCTGGAAGTAGACCTTCCCGTCGGTCTCCTTCTTCACGATGCGAGGCAGCTTGTCCAGGAAGTCGTTAAAGGTGCCGCCGAGCGCGTCCTCAAACCTGCCGTACAGGAGGTTCCGTACAGGTCAGAGAATCCAACATTCAAGGTCGCCTCATTCGAGGGGACGCACTTTCGGAGGGGTGTGCTGCGACTCCGCGAGCAAAGCTAAGCTCGTATTTACGGAGGCGTGTTCCCTCGAATGACGTCCCGATGGGACTTCTACACCCTCTAGTGACTCTGCGTGCAAACGTAAAGCAAGCACTTTGCAAGCTTTACAGGGCGGCCAAGGCATGGCGGTCTAGGGAGGAATAGAGAGATAGCAGGGGAAGCTATCAGGGCCGGGGAGGACCTGAAGGGGAGCTCCGTAGGAGAGCGGCCTTGGGGGGAATGGGCCGATTTGGGGGAGGGACAAAGCCGCCGCCGCGGCAAGCGTGGATAGGTACATAAGGAAGAGGGTAGAACTGGATAAGCCCGATGGCATTTTTTTCCAGTTTAGAGTTTGACAGTTACTTACTCTGCATTGTCCTCGTAGCCGAGATCCTCGCGCAGCGCTTCTGAAATGCCGTTAACTGGCAACCATTCCACGCCAGTTGGACCTTCGGGCCCGACTGTGAACGCGTTCCAGATGCTTTCTAGTTCAGTCACCAATCGTTCCATCTCCTGGTGACTGAGGTCGATCTTTGTCCGTTCGAGGTCATTCACTGGGTTGCCCATCTTCGCGAGGTGCCAATTAAGTTCCACTGACTTCTTCTAGGATAGAAATAATTGCACGCAGCCGGTATATTGAGTTAATTATCGCTCCTGTACGTTGCTGATAGTGTTTCCCAAAAGCGAGCGGCGGATATGTTTTTCCTTTAACACAAGTAGCTGCTAAAGAGATAGCCAATACGATGTGCAAAAGATGAGAATATTGTCCAGGAGATGTCGCATATGCATTGAAGGGCGCAACCTTTCTAGCACCTTCCAATGCCCACAGAAGTCTTCCAACAGGTGCATTACCCTCTGATAAACACATTAAAAATATATGTACTAGCTTTTCTTCCGAACTCCAAAGCGTAAGAACATCAACGTTCAAACGAGCTGGCCGACGGCCCACGGGTCAGTACCTGACCTAAATGGACCGCAATGCCGCATCTGCAACCCATGGATCTCCGATTGCGAAAACCCTGGCACATAAATCAGTTGTCAATCCCGAAATTGACTCTTATTCACCGCCGCCAAGAAAAACGAACACAGGATCATACACAGTCCTTCGGGAACATGCACCTATATGCTGAATTTATTACTAGCAAACTGTCCCGCATTTATTGCTTGGACTCAAGTTGAGGTCCCGACATTAGCGCCAAAGAATGCCTCGCCAAAGAATGTGCAGAAACAAAATACGTACGTAACTAATTTTGAACCTCCAAGATGCGACCTGCAGCGCATTTCAGCGCCTAGTCCGGCGGCCGCAAAATCAACTCACTCGCGCGTCGCTCCTCATTTTACTAAGAAACAGCTAAAAGAGAAAGAATTCCTAAGGAGACATCCGATACACGCTACGCCGCGCCCAGTTGTAAAGGATGGCGACCGGAGTGTAGATGCGCCAAAGACAAAGATAAGTAAGACATGTGAAAATTTTTCATCATCGAGAAAAAAAACCTATCTAAAGTCAAAATCCCATCCACCGACCACTCCTTCAAATGCACAGGCGCGTCAGAGGTACGTTGTACAGGATAAGCCTGTTCACCCTCCCTTGCCCGCCTTCCGGGGTTCTCACGTAGCCCACACGCCTATGACAACTACAATCCGTACAACCGTACATTCGTACATCCCAGCTGCAGCAGAACCCATCCATCCATCCGCACAGCCTCAGTGCTTTACAATCCCTTTCTCATTCACGTAACAACACATTCACGCTGCCAGGTAAAATCCAGCAAAAACATTTGTTCACACCCACTGCCTTCGCCCCGAAACCATTCGTACAACTCACCTGCACCAAATGCACCAATTCATTCCGTCAATCATACCATCTCAATTGCCTTCGGAACCCATTCATTCGTAATTCATTCGTACAAATCCACCGTGTCATGTCCATATCATGTGATCCACTCAGCCGTCGTACACAGCCCCCGCCAAGTCCATCTTCTCCTGCTCCTGCTCGTCCAATGCAGCTCGTCCAAACGCTCACTCAACCCCCGTACGCCGCACCGCCCCTTTCCTAGTTGCCCAGGAGCCCTCTGGGCCCACGTGGGGAATGGCCCACATGCTGAAGCTGCAACGTGAGCTGCTACCTACCATACCCGGGCTGCTCTTGTCCGACGCGTTCACCACAGCGGGGGGTGCCGCTCCAAGAGCCCAGTGGCGCGGTCTGTTTCTTCCAGCGGTCGTTTCCTGCCTTACCCTGCTAGGCTGCTAGCAAGGCTGAGGCTGCCAGACAGCTACAGCTACAGCTACACGGCTAACTGGGCGCATTAGGGGGGGAGGTGGAGGTCACTCTCCCGCTGCAGATGGGCCGCAGTTGCCTGTTTAGGAATGTTTTGTAACGCACGCGAGGGCGGCCGTAGGGACACGGGAGGGGGGGAAGACGAACCACGAACGAGTGAAGCTGCTGCCAAGGAAAGAGAAACAGAACACGGGGGGTTTCGCGGGCGGATGTGTCGTTCCAACCTTTCTGTGTGGAAAGAGAAAACACACAAAGCGGAGACGGGCAAGGGGGGGGGGCAGGGGATAGGGGCCCCCTTGTTTTCATCCACTCCTCCCCCCGGCCGCCCGTTCTTTCCTTTCCCCTCTCGAGTTTCAAGAGCTCCCACAGCACACGCAACAAACGGGGGTGCACGTTTCCGTTGTTTCCGTTGCGTGTCTGGAATAATAGCATCGCACACGAGCAGCACTCACCTCCAAGCCGTTATCGTACAGGAACTGCAGTACATGGCTCCGGAGCTGTCGGAGCGCTTCCGGCGGCATGTTGCCGTACGTGAGGGCGCCGTCTTCGCCCCCTCTGCCTCCCCTTTCGTCGCCACCACTGCCGCCCCATTCATGCGGCACGGCAGTAGCAGTAGCAGCAGTAGCAGTAACAGCGCCGGTGCTACGACCCGTGCCCCCGCCACCCATCAAAGTGGCCAGGTCCATGAGGAGCGGCGCCAGGTACTCGCGGCTGGCTACCGCCCGAACGATCCGCGGGTCGCTACTGCCACCGGCGGCCGGCGCCGCCGCCGCCAGCGGTGCCGTACGCGTCATCGTCATGCCCGCCGCCATAGCATCCACCAGCTGCGCCAGCTCTGCCGCCACGGGCTCCGGAACCGCCAGCAGGGGCATGGCCAGAAGGGCCTCCTGGCAGGTGATCCCGCTGCTGTACTGCTCGTATGACACGTACGGCGGCATGGGTGGCGGAAGCACGAGCAGTGTCGCGGGTCCTTCTAGCAGGCAGCTGCCCAAGTCCAGCCTGGACCGGGGCAGGAGTTAAGAGCGGAGGAAAAGGAAGGGCGTGGGGTGGAAAGGGCCCGGAAACCGGAAGGGCGGGAAGCGAGGGCGGGAGCGGGTTGAAGGGAAAAAACAATGACCTGAGCACCCGTCATCATGTATATATATACGAACACACACACACATATACATATACATATACAGATATACATGCACACCCACTCAATACGCACACCACAAACACTCCCCAATCAATGCGCTTTTTCAAAAGTGGTATCACATCCGGGAACAGCACCGTGTCTCCCACCCAACGAACCTCCAGTGCACCACCACCATCACCACCACCACCACCACCCAAACCCCACCAGAAAGATCACTTAACGTCCTCCCCAACTTCATTTCATGCCCCGCCCCTCCCCGGCCCTCCCCGCCTGCCTCTCCCCCTCACACGTAAAAACACCGTGCATTCATGCAGCGTGTCCTCTAATACTCACTCACTCTATCGTGTGTTATGTGTTTTGCAGTAACCCGCCCCCCCGGTCCAATACACACCCACGTCCCCCCGAGCCCCCGAGCCCACCTGACACTCCCACAACAACAGTACCCCGCCAGCTGCTCCTCCTCCCCCTCATCATCATCATCGTCATCGCCATCGTCATGCCTCGCTTCCTGTGGCCAAGTGAGCGGCACCTGCTCGTCCACCACCACACGGCCGCCTTGGTGCGCAACCACACGGACTGACAACACCGCGGCGGGGCCCGCCGGGGACGGGGCGGGGAGGTGCTGCTGGGGGGAAAGCTCCTGGGCCCGCGACGGTTGCGATTGCGGTTGCGGTTGCGGTTGCAACTGTACGTGCCCTTCGGTTTGCCGACTAACGGAAGATCGTCTTTGCGACGGCGGCTTGCGGCTGAAGATATGCAGCACCAGCTGTGGCGGCGTTGGCGTCGGCGACGGTGGCGGCGGTGGTGGCGGTGGTGACGGTACCACACCGCCCTCCATGCCACTGGCGGCGGCGGCGGAGGCGGCGGCGGCGGGTTGCCGCTGGCGGGCTCCAGAGGCGGCCTCACGCTGCCACTGCGGGGGAGAGGGAGTGCAGCAGTTAGGGATCAGGGTTAGGCATCAGGATGAGGGGACAGGCCCCCGCAACACACCCCACGACTCCCCCCCCCGTCGTCCCCCCCCCCCATTTAGCGACAGCCACACAGCCCCAACACAGTCCCAACACGACACCGCTATTAGCCGCCCTGCTCCCCCTGAAGTCGGAACACATCTCGGCGCTTAGCCAACAGAAGCCTCTGATACCGGTCTCCCAGCTAACCCCTCCCCATGAACCGGAGACGTCGTGGTAAGAACCTGGCGCCGCCTTTGCATCCGCTCCTTTTGTTACCGATGCGGATGTACGACAAGAGTACCTGCCATCGCATTACCTGCGGCTCCTCGCCGCCGCCGCCGCTCCCGCCGCCGTCGCCCCGGCGGCGGGGCCCTCCTTCCGTCAGCAGCGCCACTACCGGCGGCTCTAGCAGCGCCAGCAGCTGGCGCGGGCAGGGACCGCCACCCTCGCCCTCCCGTACTGTGGCCGCCGCCGCCGCCGCCGCCGTCACGGCCGTGTTTACCTCCGTTGGCGCCACGCTAGCCACTCGTCCACCTCTCACCGCCGCGTCAGCGGTGAGCTCCGCCAGCGTGTCGGATGGTACGGCGGCAGCGGGTACGTCAACGGGAGCCTGAGCTGCGGATGGCGCCACCTCGATGACAGCTTCATGCTCACTTCCGCCGCCGCCGCAGCTGCCACTATCTAGCGCCGAGCCTTCGGACGATAACGGTGGCAGCGGAGGCGCTCGGCCGACGGCATGGAAGCCGGCGGCGGCAGCGACGGCGTGGTTTTCAAAGGGCCGTATTGGGAAGCAGGCACCGCTGGCGCTGCTGCCGACGCTGCCGCCGGGGCCGCTGCCTAGGCCGCTGGCCGACGCTGCCGCCGCCAGCGTCCTGGCCGCGTAAGAGCTCGCCAAGGAGCCGGCGGAGGTGCCGACGGTGAGATCTGAGATCCACGTATACGACAGCGATGCAGCCGACTCGGCGCCACCGCGCATGCTCAACGACGGCGTTGGAAGTGTCGGCCGGCGCGGCAAGAATTCTCCCACCGACGGCGGCGACGGCGTCATCTGCGCTGGCCGCGGCGGTGCCAGCGACGCCGTCGCGGTAGGTTCACCGTACGGCAGCGCTGGCCGCTCAAGCGTCGACCAAACTTCGTGCAGCGCCGCCGACCTAGCCACGGCGGAACCATGGGTCGGTGCGCCGCCGCCGCCGCCTCCTGCCTCATCCGAAAGGAGGTGCCCCATGGAGGGCTCTATTGCGAATGGTGACGCATCCAGGTCCTCACACAGCCCCGGGGAGGAAGGGCGGCGGTTCGGCGGTGTGCCAGGTTCCGTACCAGGCACCGGCTCCGAGCCCGCCGTCGCCGCCGCCGTCACCGCTTCAAGTGCAAGTGCTAAAGTAGCGGTCCTGCCGATTGCCGGCTGTAGCCAGTCCGCCAGCCGGGTGGCCAGACTGGGAAAAGCGGCCGACGGCGACGTTGCCAGCGGCGCCGCTGCCAGCGCCGATGCGGCAAAAGCGGACGCCGCCGGCGTCGGTACCGTTGACAATGGCGGACTCGACGGCTGCGGCTGCAGCGCCGTTTGCGGCGAAGTGGGCGACGGCACCTCAACCTGCGGTGCCGCCACCGTCGGCGCGGCCTTCCACTGCTGTACGACCGTGCTAACGGTGGACATCAATCTGTCGGCAAGCCGCCGGACCAGCTCCCGATGAGGGATGTCACCCTCGGCAGCGGGAGGGGCGACGTCGCCGCCGCCGCCGCCGCCGCCAAGGCCCGCGGTGGCGCCACTTGACGTCACCTGCTCTACTCCCCGTCCTTCCGTACTCCAGCGACACCCGTCGCCAGCAGCCTCTATGCTGCGCGCTGCTACATCCGCCGCGCCCTCCGCCGCAATTTGCCGTACTGTAGTGGCTGTAACGCTCGTAGTCCGCGGTGGCGGCGCTACGACTCTTCTAGATATCGCAGCACCAGCAGCGCCTATCCCTGCCGGCGGCGGCGGCAGTAGCAGCTGCTGCTGCGGCGGCGGCTGCTGCCCCGGGCCCGATCCTCCACATCCCACCTGTACATGCACGACAAGGCGGATGCAGCCCGGCAGCGTCAGCACACTCAGTTGGTACGGCACGACACCAACGTGGACGCGCGCGCCGCCGGAGGCGGAGGCGCCGCCACTGTCGTTGTCGACTGTCCCGCCGCCGCCGTCGCCGCCGCCAGCACCCCCGCTGGCTGTAGCTTCGTCTCTGCTTCCAAATGTTCCGCCCAGGACGCGGTCATCCGGAGTAACTAGGCAGCTGCTGTTGCCGCTGCCGTCGACGCCGTCGACCCCGCCACCGCCGCCGCCGCCACTGCCGCTGCCGCCGCCGCAGGCCGCGCCCTCTAACCTCGACCCGGCCGAGCTCAAGCACTCTTCGTAGCCCAAGGACGTCCCAGCAATGAAATCATCCGTACCCGCCTCCGTCGCCTGCCGCACAGGTTCCTCCTCCAGGCCTGGACCATCCGCCGTACTTCCTTCCGAAGCTGACTCAAACAAGGCGCTGCTTACCGGCTCCGCATCTTCCGCCACCTCCGCCAGCCGCGGCCCAGGGCCCCCCAGCAGGTCCTCCACCGCCTGCAGCGCGGCGCTCTGTAAGCCCGCACACGCCGCCTCGAACGCAACCTCTCCTAGATCGGTTACCTGGCGACGACATATTAGAAGGCGATGCGGATGTGGATGTGGATGTGGATGTGGACATAACTGGGTGTATGGGTGGCTAGTTGGCTGTGTGGGTGTGTATTGTATCACCACCACCAGACAGGTCGCATCGGTCGGGCATGAGCCGCGTATAGCCGTCCAACCCAGGAACAGCCAAGGAACCAACCCACCAAGTAAGTAAGTAAGTAAATAAATAAATAAATAAATAAATAAATAGATAAATAAATAAATCAATAAATAAAAATAATAATAAAACAGCCGGTGCCAGGCGGTGTTATATTCGCGTAATTTGATAATTCGGAGGAATGACGATCCGCAATACAGACCAATAAATGCCATGTAGTAACCAAGCCACGCATGTCGCGGTGTTATGGGGGCTACAGATATCGGATGCAAATATACTCGTGATCTGAACCGGGGCTGGGGGTGGGTGGTAGGGAAGCAGTGATGCCATGGACAGCAAGGGGGAAAGGCCCTGGGAGGCCGGGCAAAGAGGTAAAACGTACGGCGCTGCACAAGAAACAAACGCGCAAACAATTTTGTCTGTTGTCGACGTCGTACAAACAAGTTGGCATGTGCCGTACCTTGATGCTCAGCGCCGTACGAGCCACCGGGGAGCGGTACAGCGCCGGAAAGGCTCCGCCTGCCCCACCACCATGCAAGGTGCCTCCCCTCCCTCCTAGCACGACGGTCGAGCTACTGCTGCTGCTACTACTGCTCCCGCTGTTGCTACTGCTGCCCTTCCTCGGCCCTTCGCCACCGTCGTCAACACCGCCGCCGCCACTCCTCCCCTCCGCTGAACTGCCTTTCTCTTTCTTGGGCGTTGCAAACCCGTCTGCTACAGCCTCCGGCCGACGGACAAAAAGGCGGCGGCTGCCGCTACTGCCATCGCTGCGGCCGTCGCCAGCTTTGAGCACGGATGCAGCCTCCACAGCCGCCCTCACCGCCGCCACCGCCAGCCGTTCCTCCTCCCCGTCGTCATCCGCCGCCGCCGCACACTCCTGGACATGATAGGTGCCCGAAGAATCGCCGCCGCCGCCGCCGCCGGCGTCTGCCGCCATCGCTGCTGATGACGCCGCCGCCGCTAGCGTTGACGGCGCCAGAAGTTCCGCCAGCTGCGCTCCCAGCATCTCGTCCTCTTCCGTACTCACCTTCCCATTATCCCTCTCGCCTAGAGCAGCAGGCGCGGGGGCGATAGAAACTCCCCGCTGAGCGATATTGCTGTCGTCGGACAGACGTAGAAGTGACGGACCGCCGCCTCCGCCGCCGCGGCTACCGCGGACGCCACCGTCGCTGCCGCCACTGCCGCCGTTGCGGTTGGCACAGCGCGGCGCGAAGATTCGGTCATCGCGGCCGCGGCGGTAGAGCTCCAGCAACGCGGCACCGCGCTGTACGGCTGCGCCTAGCCGCCGCTGCTCCGCAGCTGTCGTACGGCCTTCCCCTACACCGCCGCCGCCGCTGCCGCGGGGTCCCCAGGCCGCGACGAACCACAGCAGTACCGCCGCCGCTGTGGCCAACAATCGGCTGTGGCGGCCGGGACCGTCAGCGCTGGCGACGAGGCCGCCACCGCCACCGCCGCCGGCAGCGGCAGCTCTGACGGCGGCAGCGTACGGCTCTTCCAGCGTGCTGTGCTGCTGCTGCTCCCGTTCCTGGCGAACTTCTTCCGTGTTGGCACTGGCACTGGCACTGGCACTGGCACTGGCACTGGCTGGGTCGTCGGCTGGCAGGAGGGCTAAGCAGTCTCGTGCCATCCCCGGCTGTGAGAGGACCCCGCCTCGCGGCGGAGTAAGTGGTGACGGGGAGAGCTGCTGCTGCTGCTGCGAAGATGGGGACGGTGGCGGCGACGGCAGCGGTGTTATTGGTTGCGGCAGTGGCGGCGGATCGTCGATTTCGTACACCACGTCCTCGTCTCTCGCTCCACCAGGTGCAGTAGCAGTAGCAGTAGCAGCAGTCGCAGTCGCAGTCGCAGTAGCAGTAGCAGCAGTAGCTGCGGAAGTGGCGCCGGCGGATGTGACGGTGCCGGGGGGCCCAGCGGGGGACATGTTCCTCTCCACTCCGAAACCGCTTCCAAAGCTATCCGAAGCCGCTCCGAAACCAGTTATTATTATTGGCGCGCGCATATTCCCCCGGTGTACTGTGAGCGCTTCAAAGAGGAAAGGGGAGAAAGGGGGGGGAAGAGAAAAGGGGAGGAAAGGGTGCGGGCTGTGTGTGTGTGGCATCCTGGGGGGGCATATCACGGGATCTGCATCCACAGTTCGGTTCGCTTCCGAAAACGTCGTGGTTTAACAATGTGACAGTTCGGTGCAGAAGACCCTGCTGGAGGTCGGGCCACTGTTGCTGTTAAAATGAATATATTAGTTAATATTAGTTTACCTTACCGTCCATCCTCAAGTCGACCGCGTTGATGAGAACTTATTGCTAACTGCTCTTGTCCCTGTGTGTGTGTATGTTGTGTCGCGGTGGCTTGGTGCTACTGCCTCTCCCGTTGGCCGGTCGCCGGGGGCTTTTCCTGGCTTGGCTGTAGCTGTGCCGGCTGTCGTCAAAGAGGGACGTGGGGAGCTGAGAACTTGTTTAGGAGACTGGGGGGCTGGGAGACGGACTAAAGCTGTAGCAGCAGCAGCAGCTGCAGATGCAGCAGTAGCAGTAGCAGAAGCAATAGCAGCAAGTGGGTTGCCGGGTGATCTAGATGGACCGCGCCTGACTGCTGACGTATCCGGGCAAGCGACGTATCCGCCACGAGATAGATGAAGCGTTGACCTCAAAGTCTTGACTAGGATTGTGTTGAAATTTTAAGAGTGATATCCTTTAGTTGTTGGGTGCAGCGCTCACGATACGCGCGGGCGTTGTGATGTTTTGATGTTCGTCGTCGGAACCGGCTTGTCGGGATTGGGGTTGACTTCACAGCAGAATTATGTTGGTTACCACTGAAAGGTCCTGAAAGGATCCGGATAGGAGGTTTTTTGTACAGCTTGTGTAGTGTACAAATAGCTTTGAGCCAAGTGGCCATCTGTCTTTAGCTCCTGCTTCGGCGCGTTCGGGTATGGCATTTGTACGGCTGTACGCCGGGCTGTGACAAGGCTTGCATCGGTGAGCCACGTCCCGTGGGGCTGGCAGTGCCTCTCTGATTTCTGTAGATGGCTATGGCAGGGGTACGCAAGCTATATGCAATTTTTTTACTTATCCAATTATGCACGGCCATGCACTAAAATGAGGACTACAGGACTGAGGCACCATTTTCCCGCTCAGTTGGACGCTCAGCTGCAACACGGCTAACACGGATTTGCGATAAAGGCTTTGGAATGTTGGATTGAGCTTGGTAGTAGGTGCAAGCTGGTGTTTAAGGCTTGGTTAATGTCGCCAAGAAAGAATTCTGAAAAGTTGCTGTTGAAAGGGGAAAAGTAAATTGAAATGTGTAAGCAATTTACATGCCAACGACCGTGGATGGTACGATAGAAACGTATGCGATGTCATCAACCTCGTATGGGTTCGCCCGTAGGAAAATGGCAAACTTATGGTGTACGGGGCGCGGGACACCAGCTCTCCGTCAACTGTCGTGCCTTTTGATAAGCGAATTCTTTTGAAATCGGCTTTCATCTGATTAGACGCGGACGCTACAACTCGATCCGTCCAAGCCGTGGACCCACGCCCCGCTTTCAACTCGCCGACTTTGGCCCTCTTATCGAACAGTAAAATAATAAATCCTCAAACGCATATTATATACCGGTCACAGCATTTAAAGCCTCCATAGGCTATGAGCACATCGCCTACCTTGTTTCAGGCGGGTACCATCTCAAGAAATATCGCGACAGCTACGATCCATTGGTTGCCCCACGAGCAGCTCCAACCCTTTTTCAACAAAGGAGTAATCCGGGCTTGAACGCAGCGGACCATGTCTGGCGACGGCCGGGCAGAGGAGGTTGGCATGGCGCCTCAGCTCGCCATTGGACGCCAGGGGGTCGGGACGCAAGCCGCGGCGTCTTCCTTTGCAGAGGGGTAGGTTGCGCTCATTACCCCGCCCCAATACTCAATTCCTCTATATCTCAACACGCCATCATTCCACGGCTCTTTACTTCAGATTTCGGGGTCCTACCCGTTGCGTGTGTGTATATGTGTTTCGAACCAAGCGTATTCTTCTCACCCACAATGCGGTGGCCGACCGTCCCATGGGCCATACGTGTTTGACCTATCCCACCAACCTCCAACCGTTAATAACCGAATCGGCTAACCAAACATATTTGACAAAGGGGCGCTTATCGTCGATCGACACGCGTGGTATTGAATGGTTAAGCTGGCTCGCAACAGATCTTTCCCTCCTTCCCTCCCCCCACGTAACGCACATCACCACCTTTCACCTGTCTTGGCCCCCCCCGTATGATGACCCCAAATAATGACCCGCAGCTCGTGTACTAAACATGGGATGTGCAGCACCGATTAGGGGGCCCCCAACACACACACACACACACACACACGCTCATCACTGTAATTTGGCTCCGCCGCGATTTTGTTCGGGCACATGTATGTACGCGTAGGAGTAGGTGTAGGTGTAGGGGTTGCGTCTTACTGATCTGAGCCGCGGTGTGTGTGTGTGTGTGAGTATGTATGTATGTGCTCACATGAGCAATCCAGCATGATGGCCTGCTTCCCCTACCAAGGCTGTATGCGGTACGCCATACACCATACACTGTACGGCATATGTGCAAGGCAACCGGCAACCGGCAACAGCATCCTTTGCTTTCTCTTCCCTTCTGTTTTTGAACCCAAATGGCTGTACTGTACTGTACTTTGCACTGAACTCGTCCACATTCCTTAATGACGGAAGGGAGCGGATCGCCTTGACCTCAATCTGGAGGGGGGGTGGAAATTAATATATGCAAGGGACTCAGAAATGAGCTGCCACGGCGTCCCCAAAACGTTCGAAGCTGTCCCTAGGGTTCATAAACGACGAAGTCATCGACCCACGGGTTCCAGAAGGGGACGGGGGAGAAATAGCGGCTGCGAGGGTGCCCAAATCCAAATCGTCTCAGATCGCCCATTGCGAGCATAGCTGGCTCGGGGGGTTGAGCTGAGCTGGGTTGGGACGGAGGCTTCGGTCGGCGACAACGGCTAATAAGCGGGGCTAGGGGGTAATCTCATTCCTCCCTCGAAAACGCTAGTAGGGGCCTTCCCACGTGATCGGCTTGCTGCTGCCGCTGCTGCTGCTGCTACCGCGACTGCTACTGCTATTGTGGCGACGGCTGCTGCTGCTGTGGCGGCGGCGGTGACTGTTTTCCTTCTCTTCTCCCTTTTCAGCCGTCTGCATCCTAACGATGAGAACAATGGCAGGGGAGACAACAGCAGTAGCTCCAGCCGCCGTACAGTACTGCGGATGCTGCTGCCGTGGCCTTGGCACCGATCGCCTACGGATCCGGAGGTCAATGCCGCAGAGGGGCTACAGCCCCAGGGTATCGGCTGTAGCAGCACCACCACCATCGCCTCAGCTGCCGCTGCTGCCTATGGCAGCTGCCGCCCCTATCCACCTGCTGCTGCTGCTGCTGCTACTACTGCTACTGGTGCTACTGCTGGCGGAAAGGCTGCAGTGGCGGCAGCAGCAGCGGCGCCATCCTTACCTTCCGGCGCCGCGTGCATTCGCCACAGACGGGGCAATCCCCGGCCAATACTCTCCTCCTCCGTTGGCCCCATCCCCCTCGAAGCATCGAAGCTGCCGCCGCCGCTGCCGCCGCCGCCCTGGCCCACCGCCGCCGCCGCGGCGCTACTGCCCTGCGGCCCCCCACGTCCCCCCTGCCAGCCCGCGACCTCCTGGCGGGGACCCTCCTGGCGGGGGGACTTGGACTTCTACGGAGGAAGCACATGTGGCTCACACAGCCCCCTTGGCTCGTCCAGGGCGGGTGGGCCCCCGGGAGTGGCGCCGAGGGCAGCGGGGGAACCCCGTGGGCCGGCGGCAGCGAGCCGTACGACCGCAGTAGCATCCGATGCGGCGGCTGCCGCGGAGCAGCAGCAGGAGCAGCTAAAGCAGTGGCGGCAGCAGGGGGGGGTATCGTCAGGCGGCCCTTCAGCATTGGAAGGGAGGCGCCCAGGGGAGGGGTGCGTCAGCCGCAGTAGCCCCAGCTCCAGCCCCACGCTCGGGAGGTGCGTGTTGCGGTGAGGTGTGGCGGCGGCGGTGCGTCGACAGCGGCGGGGAGGTGCACAGAAGAAGGCGGCAGCGGCGGTGGAGGAGGAGAGGAAACGGAGCGGCAGCAGCAGCAGCAGCAGCGACAACCAGTAGCAACAACTTAGTAGTAGCAGTTCGCAATTAATAGTTTGTTGTAGCAGTTAGGACCCCAGTCAGCAGTAGCAGAAGCCACTTAACGAAAAAGGAGGGAGAAACGATGGCTAGCGCAAAATGAACGAAAAAGGAGTAGTAAAGAAAGGAGTAGTAGCCATCTCTTATCTCTAACGTTACCAGTTACCTTACCCGGGGTCCACCCTCCTGCGGTGTGCGGGATCAGGGGTTTTGGACTACAGCAACAGCAGTAGCAGTAGCGGTAGCGACAGCCGCTGTAGACCTCCCACCGGCACGGCATACAGGGAAAGGTTCGGGTCGGCGACCCTTCGGCCCGATGGCGCCGAAACCCTCCTCCTACACACACCCCTTTTTAGAGGTGGAGGGCACCCCCACACCCTCCAGACTGACAAACACACTACCGAATTCTCTTCACCCCCCTCTCTCCAACCAACATATCCACTCATCCCCACGCTCTGTGTCGAGGGATGCGTGTGTTCTTTTCCTCGCCTCCTGAAGTCGTACTTGGTATCTGTGTTTTCTGGAGTACCCGTCTAGCTCTGGTATCTGCTTCAATCGCCTGTGGTTCGCCTTCTCTTTTCCCCCACCCACCGCCACCCCCACCATCACCATCACCACCAACCCCAAACCCCGCAAATCCTGCCGGGAGGGCTAGCCCGACCCGCTTCCTCCCGTCACCTGGTGGCGGGCTGGTCGCTTTCCTTGTAGCTCCCCTCCCCTCCCATGTCCCTGCCCCAACCCCACCGAGAAATCCCACATGCCGCTTAACGCGCTTCCCCACACACCCAGTCAATCCCAACACCCCCACACCCACCCACCCACACCCACACCCACAAACCCATTTCCCGCCCCCCCCCACTGGTTTAATTGCTGAGTTTCCCGCATGTTCCCCCACCCCCCGCTTGGTGGCCATGTCCAGTGCTACTGCTGCAACTGCTGCTGCTGCTGGTAGTGGTGGTGGTCTTGGTGGTGGTGGTGGCAGCGGCGGGGTTCCCCCTGCCTCGTTCGCCGCCTTGACATCTCTCCAGAGCGCTACGTCCGTCTCCTCCGCCGCCTCCTCTTCCGCTGCTTCCACCTCCACCTCCGCCCCCTGGGGCTCCAGGCGAGGTGCGGGTGCGGGTGCGGGTGCCCCCCGCCGCATCCCCTCCCTCTCCAAGCAGCTGGAGGACTACGTGGCGGAGCTGGGGGGGGACAAACCCATCTACAGGTGGGTTGGGGTGGGGGGTACAGGAGGACACATACACACCTCATCACACCCAGTCCATGTGTTTGCGGGTATGGGGGTGGAGGTGGGGGGGGGAAGGTGGGGGAGGGTGATACACCCCCAATCCCCAACTCCCCCCCCCCACAAG